GGCATTGCCCTTTCCTCCCCCTCCCCCTGTTAAAGTTACTTTCTTAACATTTCTCCTGTGCATCTTAATTAGCACGTTGCCAACTTTAGGCTTCAGGTCACTGTCTCCTACTTACAGCCTCCTTAAATGCAGCTTTACACATTACAGAGTCTGAAAACATTTAACGATGAAAGTTCTTTTTAAGGTTTATTCTGCTAAACTTGATGAGATTTTCAGTGCCCTGCTGTGTTAAATCTCTGCCTTCGTAGACAAATGCAACAAGAGATTTAAAAATGAAATAGCTCAGACGATACAGTCGGTGTCTCAATTTGCTGGATTAGGGAAACCGCCTTGCACCTGCCCTGATTGCGGCATCGGGAGGTTAACTCCAGTTTTGAGGCATTAGCTCGAATACAAATAAAATATGTTTACTCAGTTAGGCTTGAACATGTGTAGCCTCAGTTGCCTGATAGCCTGCATAATACCATGAGACTCTTACTGCTAGGTTAAATCTTAATGCTGCGACTTGGGGGGGAGAGGGGAGGAGCAGTTCTGTACCAAAGAGAAAAAAGCAGGTGCAAAAGTACAATATGATGTGGGTTTTCTTAGGTCCATCCTGAACTCAGTTAAAATGACCTTATTTATTCCTAGGTTTCTTTTTAAGATGTGCTTTCAGGAAACATTTTATGTTGATTTCACACTCTTTCAGGCATGACACTATTTGCCTGGGAGCTGGTGCCAAGAGCATAAAATCCATAATTTCTGATTGACATTTTGTTGGGATTTGCCGACAGCAGCCATCGCTAGTCCCAGCACCCTGCTTTTGCAGACCACGTATATGGTCAGCAACCATGTATATGGGCTACTCTTTGTAGCCCACCAGAAGCAGCACTCACAAATCAGGCCATGCCCCATATTCACCATACTCATGTAGCAAAACTCAAAATGAGAGTTCCTTTAAAAAAAAAAATTTGCCTGACAGCTCACAGATCCGTATACGTCATTTCTTGGCATATATCTGTCAAATTATTTGGCAGTTCTCTCCATATGAATCGTAACAGTTTAGCTGCAACAATTTCCAGATCAAAGCTGTCAATCACTAGGCAATTCCCACAAGGACATGCAAAAGGACCTGACTGGGATATTATCTGAAGCTGCAAAAATCTAGAAGATGTGACAAACTAGAAAAGCAAGATTTCCCAAGTGATGTGGACTGAAGTTCAATACAATTAGTTTATTCCTTTGCACAATTTAAGAGAGTGAGCTATGATTCCTACTAGATCTGGAGGCAAAATCTAGAATGTGAACTGCAATTTATCCATTTCCTCAGCATTCCCTCCTCTTCCAATTAAATACGCTTTGCTTTGCTTTTCCATTATTCTGAGGAGGCAGTAAACCTCAGTCTAAATGAGCATTTACATGAAAAGCAGAGCTCTCCAAGGCATCCACTGAAACTCTTGTAATACAATATTAGCTTTAATTTGATTTTCTTTCTTGCCTGTGGGAGAGTTTCAATCACATTTGGTATGATTTATAATTGTACTCCCCCTCCTCCTGCAGAGGTCATTCCCGTTCTTAAAACTGCATCGTTTGACTAAAAAGAATTCCTTTTAAAGTAAACAGGCTGGTAATCAATGTTGTCCACAGATGATAATAAGCACAGTCCAACTTTATTGGGGTCTCTCAAATGTCAGAAAGCTCACCTTAATCTCCAAGAAATATAATCTGTTTATATCACTCGCAGCCTCGTGGTTGTCTCCTTCATAAAGACTGTTTTCTTGGGCTCACTGAATAATCTCTTCTACCTTATCTTACAAAGAATCCGGCTTCGTCATACATATTTCACGTAGTCTTTACCTTCTTTAACTCAAGTAAATCGGAGAATTTTATTCTGTGATTCTCATTTATTTATCTCACCACTTCACAATTCAAAAGTGCACATAAAGGATACAAGCATCTTCTTAAAGATATTTAATCCTGCTTTCATGATATCTATCTTGCTTTGTTTTACTAAAAATAATCTGCCACATGCTGTTGAAACTCTCTCTCAAAGAAACAAACACATACTTTTTTTTGAGAGGGAACATTCAATAAATAAATGTATTGCTCAAACAGGTAATAAAATGGCATTTAATATTATATTTATATGGCTATAGTAAGCTGCTATCAGATACAGAATGATGTGCGACAAAATAAGAGCTAAGGTCAGGAAGAGAAAAGTAAAAATTAAATAATAATCAAAACTTGTATTATTTCTATTGCTAATCTGTGCCACGATACACCAAAGTTCTACCACTCCTGACTTCATACTTGACCCAAAGTAAAATTTTATGTTGATCTGAAACATACTCTTCACTAAACTTTAGAATGTAATAGATACTGTGGGTCTAATTTTCCATCTCCACACTTATCTCCATGTGCTTAATGGCATGCCTGCATGCTATTACATAAACATATTATGAATTCATGCGTATATGCAGTAAAATAAGCATCAAGCCACATGTGCATGTGCATCTTCTGCTTAGCTATATATATGTAGCTGTGTGTTTGTTGATCAGGCATGTAACTGTGATATGAAAATTAGAGTCCCTATCTTTCAGTCAATGTATAGCCCCAAAATCTTCTTTTTTGCATTTGGTGAGATTCCTCTTTCTTGTACTGAGAAGCTCTTAACAAATCAGCATTTGTTTCCTTAGCCAACTGATTTCCCCTAATCCCTTACCTCAGCTTCAAGACTAACAACTGTGGGAAAAAAACCCAGAGGATTACTGCACGGTTCTTTGGCTTCTTTGGAGAAACTATGGGATCTATTTTAGAAACAGTATGCATTACCCAGCCTCAGGTCAGCTGTTCCATCCATATTACTGGCTGGCTTGGAAACATTCCCTTCCCTACAATGTAAATGACACAAGTCCTCCCAACTTTTCTTGTCATGTAAAGTGCTCGACAGAATATCTTTACAAGAAAGATAACAAACTTTGTATGTCTGCACTGCATGACAAAGTGCAGTGCGGAGATAGCTAACCTATCTCCAGAAGCTAGGTGAGAGACCAAAAGTATGGTGCCTCCTGAGTTAATATACCCCGTAAAATAAATTAATATGCACTTCTGTAATGTATGCACTCTAACTTGTTCTACTTGCTTTTACGATGACCATACTCCAGCTGCACACAAAGAGTATATTTGCTCATGCCTCCAAGGACCATGCAGTTACAGCTGACCGTATTGTTTAAAAAAACAAAGCAAAAAACGCAAAAAAACCTGCCAAGCACTGGGACACGGTAAGCTTTGCTGTCTCTCAGGCTTGAGAAGCTCACGTTCGGGGACGTTCCCAAAGAAGACACATGCATATCATCACTCTCAGAATTTCCTAATCAAAAGTTCCCTGCACCAGTCACGACATCCTGCCAGCTTCCAAAAAATGACAGTTGGCAATCTGAAAGGGTAAGAAAAACTGTTGCATGCCATGCCACAGACACTGTCTTACCACACAGTATTCGGTGCAAGGCTAATACCACGGTAGTCCTTTTGGCTTTTGGCTGGGTCTCTAGCTGACATGACTTATCGGTTACACTACAGAGTAACAAATTGCTTGCTGGTCTCTGCAGATAAACAGTGAGGCATCCTGAAATACATCACCCCAAAATCAAAGCTGAGGACCAACAATACCACTGTCCCTATGTCGCTCACAGAAATGAACGTTCACAGAAGATGGTGCCAACTGATTTACACTGGCATTGTGGGGAAAATCCAGAGAAGTGGCATCTTCTAATGTTCTGGACCCATTTGTCAGGTCTCTAAGGCACCCCAAAGCCTATTCCACCAGAGCAGTGGGATTTACCTAACACTATTAAAACTTCCAGCCTAAGTTTCTACTCAGTTTCACACTTGCCAAATGTTCCTTCATGTTTTTTGCCATCCTTATAAAGTGAGGCTTCTTGTTTCCAGATGTGTCCCACTGCCCTGAAAGGCATCCTAATTGGACCAATGCACAAACTCAAGTGTTTGCATCTACAGGTTGTTGCCGTACAGTAACTTTCATGGTGTCTTTGATCGCCTTCATCAAAGCCTTTGTAATATTAAGCTTTTCCTGTGCTGAGCAACACCTTCAACATTGCCCTTTGCAATACATAGGCATTAACTTTGGGGAAAATCCTGTATTTTTTTCTTATGGCAAACCCTTCATCTCCGAAAAGAAGCTATCCATTCACCTGAACTAGGCTATGTCAAAATATTATTAACTTAAATCCAACAAGTAAAAATAGCAGGGATGCACAGCAATAACTAGAATCAGATTTAACATTACATTCTAGCAAGCCCTGAAGCAACATAATTATGTGGCCGTTGCTGCATCAGGCAAGGAATAACCACCAAGCACACTTGAAGGCATACGCTGTCATTTATGGATGTTCTTCAGATAGGGTTTGTAACATGTAAGTCTGCAGCCTCCCTCTCCCTTTTTGCTGTTACGGAGGTGTAGGGAGCTGGGGAAGAAACAGAGGCAGAGGATGGGAGAGACCCATTTTTCTGGTTTTGACAGACTGTTTTATCTGTCACCCCTCACTAAGGTTTCTTTGAACCATTTTCCCTAGTAGTCCATAGCAGGAGTGGAGTGTCATGTCTTATTCAGTACCACGGCTGCTGCAACATAATTTGGGGAACCTCAAATTTTGGCTATGAAGGGACCTGACAAGGAATGCCTTCCTCACTTAATATGTATCTTATGTATCATCACTTTTCCACCTGAAGATTGACATTCCCTTGCCAGCCCTTTCCAAACTTCATGGAAATAAACCTTTAGTATCAAGAGTCACAAATGACTGTCCCTCTGTAACAATCCTCGTACTGTGAGCTTCAGAAACTACTGCCGGTCTCTGTTTACCAAACCGTACTCCTGAAACCAAGGACTCTAACTGAGCTAACTGGAAATTATCAAAGGAGCGCTTCAAACAAGACACAGTTCTGCTCTCTCCTTTCTCCAGTTGCACTCCTCTCCCATTTCAATCTCTACTTGTCTCAGCTTAAAGTCTGGATCCGACTCTCCACCTTCCCCGGGGAGTGGCCCTGGCTCACACCCTGAGGAAATCTCCCCAGCCCAGGACTTAGAGATCTGTCTTCCCACTGACTCTCTACCCACGACCGGTGAAGGGGCCTCGCAAGGGTACCAGCTCCCGGCTGTGGACACCCCTCTGCTCTCCAGGCAGGATGCTCAGTCCCATATCAACTTCCCTCTGGCAATGTGGTATCTTTTTATTCACTGAAACTCTAACAGCGGCCTCTTTCAGTTCAGTTCCCTGTAAAAACTGAGAGATTCTCCACTCCTGAAGGAGTGCTCCAAGTCCCACATTTCGCTGGTCAAATTTCCCAAAGATGTGTAGCACTTCCAGAAGAAGCTACCCACCTCAGTCAGTAGATAGCACTACCATATCCTCGAGGAAGATCAGAATGGAAGGAGCAAATGACCGGGTTTCATCAGAATGCTTCAAGTTTTCCACATGGCTAGATGGATGGACTGCACCTCACTGGCATTAATCAGGAGATACCACTTTCCGCCATTCCCGGATCCATTTCCTTCACTATTTTGCCATTTCCAGCATAAATTGTACTCACCTTATACTGTCATTGCTGGTATGAAAATCATGCTGCCAAGCTGCATATATGCTGTAAAGGTCATAGATACCCATTATTTTATGCCATATCTGCTTTTTCTTCTTAAGTATCCATATACTTTCTGCATTTTATATATGTGCTTTCTGGGTAATATATAACACCAAATTATTTTTCATTGTCCATCTAAAGGAAATGCCTTCTTCATATTGTTCTGCATATCTGAAGTTTTCATATCAATCTGTATTACCTGGAATCCCTCCCTCTCACTCTTCAGTTTACAGATCCCAAACTGAATTGGCCAATTTTGAACTCACTATCTTTTTTCATACGTAAAAGGGGGGTCACTTAATCTATCATCTCTTTTACTAAGTAGCCCAGTAATCTGTGAATTCATAAATTTCTTGTCTGTGTCACCTTGTCTCCTGGATCAGTCTTCTTTTTCATTTTAATCAGAATTGCCGTGAGAAAGTACCTTAGGCTTTTTTAACCCATTATACCTACAAAACATCTTTTTGGCACCTTTGATTTAAATGGATCAATTAAAGGGGATACCCTGTCATCCCTTGACGTAAATGCCTCATTTTTTGTCCCAGCCCCTATTTTTGTTACTAAGAGTCAAGTTGTCGTTAGATTTTTTTTTCTGTAATTGAACTATAATATATTTTTTTTAAATGGAGTAATTATCTACTCTCTTCCGGTTTCACCTTAGCAAGCTCTGTGAGCCATAGACCTTTACATCTACTGCATATACACCTACTGACTATCAACAAAGAATGGCAGTCCCCGGTATTCATTTGCTCTCCACATTGGGTTTACAAGAAGGAACCACCTTAGAACTAGTTACCTTCAGTATAAGCTTTGAAACAAAAGTGCAGACATGGAGCATATGCATTTATTTGTTCATTTATGACTCTCAGCAAAGAAAGTCTAATTCTTTCTCTCCCAATGGTCTAAATCACGTGTCACTATGGGTACAATAATATAAAAGGAGTATAAATACTGCAAATCCATCAAGCTCAGTATCTCCAGTTCCTTGAATAAGCCTGTACTTCCTTTTTGTTATTTGTATACATTATTCTTACTCTTAGAGTAATGCTAAGGACTTGAAAAGTAAAGCTCATCTGCAGGACTACCATCTTGATGGTAGGTGTCTTTTGCCTCCAACAGAATTGAAAGATCCAAATTCAAAAGATTAGTATCTCACCTCACACTTAGGAATAGTATTAGTCAGTCATGTCTTTTGCGTACCTGTCAAACATAAAATATTTCTGATGGCTCAATTTTTCAATTGTAAGTCATGTATACAGAGCATAATTGAAATAAGGTAGAAGAACGATACCTGTTGGCTAAACCCTCTGTCATTCACTGCCCTGGACCAACTCACATCCTCAAACAGGCAAGGTTTCCTTTGGTCCTGGTTGATTGTCCTTTAGAAATCTTGAGAGGGAGACATAATTTCTACTTTATGACTGTCTGGCCGGAGCTGAGAATGGAATGCAAAATAAATAAATATAGAAAAGCATTTTAAATTACTTTCATTTGGCCACATTCCTGCCTCTTCTGTGTTTGCTGTCTATGTATATATGAGGGAACGATTTTTGTTGTCGGAATTACTCACGAAAAGCAGAGTTCAAAGTGGTGAACACAAGAACAGCATGCACAGAAGCCAAAATGTAAATGTGCATGTACAAGAATTCATGCCAGAAATTCTTGCACGTTCATGGAATGTGGCTCTTCTGACCAGGCTCGAGCAGGCAAGGTAACCTGAATCTTTAGTGGCTGCCGCTAATCCATATAATAAAAACCCCAACAATATGGTTTTCTTTTTAATTCATTTGAATAATGAATACATTCAAACAAACGGTGGCATGTTCGCCTTCCCCAGGCAACAACCAAACGTGTTTTAACTATACGTTGTTCATGCTCCCACAGCAACCTTGCGAAGGTGACCGGCGAAAAGGAAATTTGGTCTTGTGATTCGAAGCAGTGAACTGGGATTTGGGAAGCCTGGGTTCGATACTCAGCTTTGTCACACACTTCTTCGGTGACCTTGGGTAAATCCTTCAGCTCCTCTGTTCCTCCACCCCCCCCCCCCCAATAAAATGGGGATAATGCTTCCCTTCTTTCCAGAGCTCTGAAGAAAAACACCTGTGCGGTGCTCACATACTGCAGTAGCCAGAGCTGATATACTGACATATTGATATCCTGACAGCACCTTTTTCGAAACTAAGCTGAGCGAGTGCCATTTATACTCACATGAAAGATAATAAACTATAGCCACACAACTAAGTTGGTAAGGAAATCTATTTTCATGTGTGAATCACTCTGCTTATTTGCATTTGCTTGGGGCTATTAGAGACAAACCCATCAACGCATCAACACTTCTATCATCCTGAAACCCCCTCATGGCTTGTAGGCCAAGCATTGAAGGGCACAGTGGGAAAATCTTGGAGAAATTTTCCTTTGGTCACTAGAAAATTAGTTTAGGCCAGATAAATTTGGGTATGACCTTCATCTTCAGAGCCAGGACACCTTCTTAGCACACTAGATTACAGTACCTGGTGGCAAATATATTCCTTCCTTGACCAAATCTGTATGAAGGGACGTGCATCCTACACGGACCAAGCTTCCAAGTCATGCAAGATCTCCTGCCCGGCTTGGGCCTCAGGGTATTCTGTGGCACGCTGAATGAGCTCCTCTAGCTGGACCATAGCCTACATAGGAAGCAGGCATTTAATACACTGAAAAGAATCAACAAATTAAATGCTATTTAGGGTTGCAACTTCCACCAAAATCAATAGAAAATTTTCCTTTTCTGTCTTGGCACATCTTAAATTTACGCTTTTCTTTAACTGTCTCTTAATTTAGCTTCATAGCATCGCTCTCTTCAGACTCTCCACTGTACAGTTTGGGCAGATCCCACCAGAAATTTCTCTTTTCCAGGAAATAAAGATTTTCAAAAATTTAGAAAAGGAAGGTCTTTGAAATCTCAAAACCAATGTGACTGTGCAGCCCAATAACAAATAATCTCTCACTGCATAATATCTGAGAGTATGCAATTTCAGGATTATGGAAGAATCTGGAAAATTGCATACTGTGAGAATTCTCCTTTTGCTATAAGAGATTTAAAGCTACACCTTCATTTAATCAAAAAAGTAATTTCCTCTTTACAGCAAGTCTCAAATTTTACTTATGACCTTGATGTCTTGACAGTACTAACTTGTTCCACACTGCATATTCCTATCAGAACCCTGAATAATCATCAAAATTAACTAGCCTATAGAGTGATTAAATAATTTCCTCCAATTTGCACTTGATATGTTTATTAAGTGCTGGAGGGTGTTCTTTGCTCTCTTATTTTTACTGCTCTTAAGCGCTATGTCTGGATTTTTGGCATAGGTGCAGTAGTATTATGATTACTAGAAAATTTTCATCAGATTATAGTATGAGTTACTGTTTGATACTGTATAAATGCCAGTGGATAGTAGATAAAAACGAAGATGCAGCTAGCTGCCACTGCCTTTTATTGTTTGGAATTTGTTAATATTGAGCTAAATCGAGGTTCTAAGGTGATGACAATTTTTTAACGTCTGCTTTTTACAAGTTACATTTTCTTACAAGTAATAGTGCAAGTAGTAAACAAGCTAGAAGCTGAATATCAACTAGGTAAATAGATATAGCAGTATTAAAGCTACAAAAAATACTGAGCATTGCATACGTGTCATTACTTGCGCTTCATTCACCCTACCATTGTCAACAAGACCTATTATTCAAAACATAAAATTCCTTGCAAGAAGTTTTCATTTTGAAGCAGATGAAACTGCCAGGGCTAATCATCGATAAAAACTGTGATTTGAAAAGTACTGGAAACCTGTGTTTTCAAATGCGTATCTTGGCCCTTCACACAAGCAATTGGTTGCTAATGCCAATACGCATTAGAAATGCAATTGTACTATACTTAGATGTGGTTCAACCACAGTTATAACATGGACCATTAAGGAGCATTAAAAGAGAAGGGAAACAAAAATAAAAAGAAAAGAAAGAATCTAGGCTAAAAGGGAACATGTCCTGTTGCTCGGCTAAAATATTTATCTATGATTAGATAATAAAATTGTTCAGAATAAGACTAAATCAGATTAAATATTGATGTCTGGCAGGACATAAACATGTCATATAGAAAACATGTTTACTTCCATTTTTCCAGGGCTTGTAAAGAATTCTAAAGACTTTCACCATGGCTCAGGAAACCAGGTTTTTAATGAAAACAACTAGTGCATTAGAGAAGATTGTAGCCTCCTCTCTCTCAAGACTTGCACCTGTTCAATGGGGAAAGTAAACGCTCATCTATCACGCCTAATGTTTTTCCAAGTTAGCGACGATCTTCTGAAAAGTAACTACCGTATCAGCTTTAAATCTCAAACATACATCGGCCAAATGGCATAAAAATCAACCTATGGTGAATAATAACAGTTAAAGGAATAATATATTTGTACACGCGATTGCATGCTTTCCTATGTTCGAGCCAGAGCTAAGTGGGAAATGCCCAGCTGCCTTAGTTGGAACCGACTCAAAACTTCATCCGCTTTGGTTCAGTTCTCAAAATAGGGCACATGACCTCTAAGTAAGACAGTACAGTAGGCTGTTTTTACACTACATTGCCGCTCCTGCAGCCCCTAATACAAATTCACTCATTGCAGTGAGCCTGAGAGGAGGTAAAATTTGACACTTGCAGAGTTTCAGTGTTATCTTGTTTTGTAATGCATTATCCATAGCAAATTTACCACTATCTTTAGGAACAGAGATGACATCTGCTACAGAGTGGCTTGCACTTGTCTGTCTGCTGCTTTCAGTGTCATGTGTCTGACATGAGTTAACCTCTCCTATAAAATCTAATGCAAGGGAAGAGAATTTCTCATCCGAGGTGTCCCCACTACTCCTCTTGACCTACTTGGAAAACTACGGCGAAACACTTTGTGGTTTCCCCTGGCGCTGCACAGCTGCAGAAGGCAGTAGCAGGACCCCATTTAACAGAATTGGAAACTGTGTTGCATATGTTTGTATGCGTTTGGATGGCATTCTTTCCAAAGCTTGCCAATTCTGTGTATCGTTTTATCAAGTCCACGACAGGTCTTTTTTATGGCACCAGCATAATCACAAAAGATAGCCTTTTCTCTTCACAGAGAGACATCCAAGTTGGGTTTTATAATTTGACAATCATGTAGTTTGATTTTTGGAATAAAAGAGATAATCCCCCTTTCCCGTTCAAGATGAGATTGTAGTTGTTAGTGACAGCTGTTAAAATGCTGCTAAAAATAGATCTAGTGTCAACCACTAAAAAGCTAAGTGCTCCTGTGAACCACAAGCAGAAAACAAATGAGGTTTCTCCTGAATTTGTGGAGAATCTGAGAGCATCGTGCACGTACTGGGAAGGGTGCTTTATTCTTCCAGCAGCCATCTCTATTTGTAACACAATGGAAAAAAATCAAACATTTGCTATTAAGATAGGAGATAGATACATGCTCTCAAATTAATTTATTTCTCTCTCCCTTTTTTTTTTTTTTAAAGGATGTAATGCTAAAGCTGAGACTACCTCCAGCCATTTCAGATGCTCTTTCTTATTTACACCTCTGCCCTGGGAAATAAAAATAGCAGGAAGATGAAAGGAACGCAGCCAATCGGCCAAATACAGCGATATTATAAATTAACGTAAAATACTTGTGTTCAGCACGGCAGTTATTGATAGAACAGCCAACGCGCTTGGGTGCCTTTCGCATTATTGTGATTTGCTGGGTTACGTACGCAGTTACGTGGGACTTTCCTCTGCTTTGGAGCTTCAGCCTCTAACCCATCCATTGTGGGTTTATTCCATTATAAATTATCTCTATTCCAAACTAGATGTATGACACAAAATGAGTAAAAAGAGAGAGAATAGAATTGTTCACATTCTAAGTTATAATACATCTCAGTAGGTTCCTCCTTTTTAGCTACATTATGGCTAAAAATAGAGCCCTAGTGTAGGCACAGTGAAATATGATTTGCTTCCAATAATATAGCAAACTAATTGTGAAATTAAGCTATTGAACGCACTGTTATCTCAAAGTCTGGCCTTACCAGCACTTTACGCTTCCCTGTTCAACATTGATCAAGTTACCCACAAACTTTGACGGATGCAAACAACGGCTGATAAAAAGCTGCGTTTGTCAAGGCCCCAGCCGGGCAGAGGGCTTCGGCAGAGCTGAAACACCCTTGTCACGAGCAGCCCTCATAAAGACGCCTCACCGAGGGTACCAAAAGATGGCCAACTCTTCTTCCCTCTAACGCCGGATTTATTTATCCATTTATTCATTAAGGCGTCGAAATGAAAGGCTGTTCAACGCCCCGAACTTGAGAGCAGCCAGCTTTGCAAGCTCATAGCCACGAGTGAAATATCGATTTAAACCCCGTGTCAGCGCTAGCGCCGGTTCCCCCGGGTCCCATATGACGGT